AAAGAGATGGTCTACTGACTCAATTACTTCGTCTAGGTTCAGGTAAATGTTTACTTTCTTTAGGGAGTTCAGGATCAGGTTGGGTTGGTTTCAAGTTCAGGGTCTCGAACTATATCCATGTTTTTGGCCTCCTCATAAAAATCGGCTTGTTTTTTACTCACCATTGCTTCAAGGAACTCTTCCTCGAAGAAGTGAGCATCGCGGCTTTCAATAACCGCACATGTCAAGGTTGTAGAATTGATACCCCTTATCATGATTTGGGTAACCAATAAAAAAGGTTTTTACAATTTTGGGTTGCAATTTGGTTCTATTTTGATGTGGGATAAGGATATGGGCTGAGCAACCCCAAAATCTCAGGTGTTCAAGGGCAGAATACGACCTATGAAAATTTCGTGAAGAGTAAATGAGGCAGTTTTTGTGGGAGTTTGGTTAAAAATATAACACGCCGTTAACATGGCTTCTCCCTAAAACTCTAAGGAGAGATTTGCATGTCCCATCATACTCTTTACCATTTCCACTAAGGTCATATTCCTTCTCTCAGCTACACCATTTTGTTCACGAGTATAAGACATATTGTACTAATAGATGATCCCATTTTCAATGCACAATTCTTTAAAAATGTCAGATGAATATTCCTCCCCTCTATCGGTTCTAAGGACTTTAATTTTCAGGTTGGTTTGATTCTCTACCTGGGCTTTATATTCTTTGAATTTTTCTAGAGCTTCTCCCTAAAACTCTAAGGAGAGATTTGCATGTCCCATCATACTCTTTACTATTTCCACTAAGGTCATATTCCTTCTCTCAGCTACACCATTTTGTTCACGAGTATAAGGCATATTGTACTAATGGATGATCCCATTTTCAATGCACAATTCTTTGAAAATGTCAGATGAATATTCCTCCCCTCTATCGGTTCTAAGGACTTTAATTTTCAGGTTGGTTTGATTCTCTACTTGGGCTTTATATTCTTTGAATTTTTCTAGGGCTTCTGATTTTGCATGAATAAGGTACACATGGCCATATCGCAAGTTATGATTTATAAAAAAGATAAAATATCTTTTTTCTAGTTTTAGTGGTCACATTCATAGGTCCACATATGTCATTATGAATAATTTTCAATACGCTAGTAGCTCTTTTTGCCCTGGTAGTATTTTTCCTTATTAGTTTTCCTTGCACACTAGACTCGTACACTTTCAATAAATCTCCCTTATAATTTTGAAGAATCCTGTCCTTTTTTAATTTTTCAATTCGTTTGATATTAATGTGTCCTAACCTCATATGTCATAGGGTAGCATCTAATTCACTAGGTGACGAGACATAAGTAACGTTCTCTTTTATTTCAATAATAAATAGCCCGTCTACAAGTTGTCCAGTCATGATCACATCTTTCCCCTTCTTGACCACCACTTTCTCCTCAATGAAAGTTGTTATGAATCCAGCCATAGACATCTTAGGAACCGCCAATCACTTACTCATATTAGGAGCATAAAATGCTTGCTTTAGGATCAAGGTGCTCCTACTCTTCAGTTTCAGCTCGAAATCTCCAATTCTAAGTACATCAGTCTTCTGATTTCTTTCCATGTAAATATGCTACTGTCCTGACCCTATGGGAGTGAAAGAACGGAAACCATTATTGGTATTTGTGACATGGGCCGTAGCTTCCGAGTCAAGACACCAAGAAGCTCTATTGGGGTCAGCCAACATAGACTAAAAAACCACACATGTCAATTCCTTGTTGGTCCTTCTAGATTTGTTGAACCGACAATTATTAGTAATGTGGTCCACCTTCTTACAAATAAAGCAAGTTCGAGTATCTCTCCTTGCTCCCTTATTTCCAAAATCTCTAATTTTGAAATGTCTTTTCTTTCCAAAATTATTTATTCCCTTTCCTTTCTTAAATTTAAAAGAAGGTGGATATTTTACCATACGTACGACTTCCCTTAAAGTTGTTGTCAATAGTTGCCTTGTATTTTTCCTCTTTTCTTCTGCTTTGATTGTAGTGATGAGCTCCACCAGCTTTGGTGCTTTCCTTCTGGTTAAGATGAAAGATATGAAAGTTTTCCATGAATTAGGAATTGAATTCATAAGATGAATCACTTGCATAGATTCATTGGGTCTCATGCCTGAATCTTCTAGCTCTCGGACAAGCGCACGAAAGACATGCACATGATCTGCAAATTTGGTACCTTCTGCAATCTTTAACTCATTATACCCCCTTATAGCCATGGTTTGCTTCATAAGAGAGGGTTCAACATACTCTCTCTCAAGTGTGTCATAAATCTTACTTGCAGTATAGATTGACTCATACTCAAAAGCAAATGAGTCAGTCATGGCAAATAAAAGAATGTGTTTGCATTTCAGATTCTTCCTCTTCCAATTGGTGTACCCATCTTTGATTTCTTGAGATTAGTCGTCAGTTGAACGACGAGGTCGGTCCGCCAAGAGTACCTCATGCAAGTTTTCCTCATAGAGCACAAATTTGATTTTTCTTTTCCATGAAGCAAAGTTGGTCCCATCAAACTTTTCGGCTTTTAGAATCTTTGAGATGAAAGTACAAACAACCATACCTTTCTATTCTCAAGCAAAGAAAATTAAAAAAAGACTCATAATAGCAATCAAGTAAAACCAACTTTAATCTAATGAAAGAAAGACTTATGTAATATTTCCCAGGGGAATACAAGCTTTTTTTTTTAATGATAATAATCACCCCTTTGCATTTTGGCAAAAAGATCACTTACAGATAGTCTTTTACAATAAATAAATATTTCAAAATAACATAGGACAATAATAAAAATAAAACTCAACAACTTGATGTCATTTTTATAACTTAATACTATGCTTGAGAATATAAAATAAAAGAGTAAAGTAAGTAAAAGAGAAGATGACAAAAATTACCTCAACCGGGCTTATTATACCCTACATCGAGTCACCACATCTAATGGCACGAGATCAGCGGTCTAGCTTCAATCTCGAACCAGGAAAGCTAATTTCGACCAAACTAGAATACCACTCTTAAATCTCTACAAAACCTTAACTCCAAAATAATTAGGCTCAAATCCTAATTTTCCCAACCTTTAGTATTTTTAGGTCAAGAGAAAGAGAGAAGGATACCTAGGGTTGGCGCGTGCCCCCTATGGGTCTTAGAGAGAAAGAAGGTTAGAGAGAGAAAGCCTGAGAGGAGAGAGAGGGGCGTGGCCCCTAGGGGGAGAGAGAGTTTACGAGAGAGAGAGGTTATGAGAGAGAGAGATGTGTGTTGAGATGGGGGGAGAGCACCCCTATTTATAGCGAAATTTAGGTTTAGGGTTTCCCATAGTTTGCCTCTTTCTTGATATTGAATATGGACCGTTGATCAAGGTGACTTGTGAGGTGAGAGATCTGAGCCATCCATTTCATAAATGGGCCATCAATATTATGGAAGGTGTATAAACCATTATCCCCCTTTCCATAACCATTTTTCCATCAATATATTTAAATAAATTAAATATATTATACATTCCATAAATTGCATTATCCATCTCATATATTCCATAAGAATAAATCAAGAAATATCAAGTCAAGATATTCTATCAATATTCAATATAAGAAATGGTCAATATTTCCCAAACAATATTTGACCATATGCTTATGAGATGGACTTTCCAAAAATTACAAAACTTGATATCAAAGAAATAACAAAAGAAGCAATGGGTGGGGTGTGCCACCCATATGTGGTATATGTGGGCCCCCACCCATTTGCCACATGGTGGGCCCATGTGCACTATAGGCCTCATGAAAATTTTATAAATATTTTAAAATTTTATTTAAACATTATTCAAATTATATATAATTTGTAAAATCGATAAATTCATTTTTATAATTTCAAAAATCATAAGTAAAATATTAAAAATTCATAAAAATTCAAATAATAAATCTAAAATAATTTCTATAATAAAATGAGCACAATTAAATTAATATGATGAGAAGTGGATCCATATGGTTCAGTAATTCTATCAACGATCACGGGGTACTCCATCTTCAACTGTGGACTACAAACCACACTTGCTTTATCAAACCGACTTAGTGTTTCCCATGACCCAAAATCCAAGTGGGGGCTCAATATCAGGTCACCAAAGTCATTGAGCCAATGGGTCGCAATCCCAGTCTGTGAATTACAGGTCCTCTTTTAAAGATGAGTCAATGTCACCACGATCTGATGTGACCACAACTCTATTATACATAAAAGTATCTCTCTCGCACATCCATATACTTCACCCAAAGGTGGATAGCTGGTTTTTTCGAACGATCTATTGATATGCATGCTGTGTGATGGAACATAGATGATGATGACCCCCATCTCTGTAGGCCTATTATCACACACAAGGGTTCACACAATCCCTCGGCTTACTCATCTAGGCATAAGCTCCGACCTCATCAAGGTTTATTCTTTATGCCTTGATACCTTGGATTTTCCAACTGACTGGTCTAAATCGTCAAGCACAGTTTGGTATCAACAAATATCATTTACCTAGTATAGTCTATGAGGGACCACACTCCCACTTAAATGCTTTCTTTTTATAGCCACATAAATCTAATAACACAAACTTTAGTCCAATTGCATGGCCAAACTCTCATCCTTTGGAGACCAATAATGGCATATCTCTCGAGGTGAATACTGTTGCTGACTCATTGGCAAAATGACGGTATCACTAACAAAAGCAAAAGCAACCGTGTGGCACACTCGCTTCCCATCTTATAGACCCTTTAATCTTGCATAATATTCCCAATGTTATGTTAGAGAAAGGGATGGTTGATGATTGTAGCATTATTTTTCATTGTTTAGCAATAAAACGTTTGATGATTGTAGCATTATTTTTCATTGTTCAGCAATAAAATGGGTAAGAGCTAATGATCCCCCACTGATTTCCCAAAATAAAAAATAAAAAATCTTAAGTGGGCTCCAATGTTTTGAGGCTCGCAACAGGGGATAGGGCGGGAAAGAGTAAGGTGAACTATGAAACAAGCAAAAATGAGAAAGATGAGGGCTTCAGCCACCGATTTCGTCCAAAGTGATCCGCTGAGGTAGACCTACTCTTGTCGCCTCTGCGTTTTACAAATCCAGGTTTGGCCAACAAAAACGTTTGGGTGAAGGTCTAAAACATATGGGTGCCCATAATATACTCCACCCTTTTAGCAAGTAGATGGTAACAGGGGGTGCGTGTCGCGTGATCAGTCTGCACTCCGCCATTTCTGTCTCTGCGCCATGGATACGACGGGTGTTAGATGAAATTTAGTACGGCAGGGGAGGAGAGAGAAACTATAGCTCATCTACCCAAAACCCATAGAGAGAGAAAGAGGGGGGAAGAGAGAGATGAAGAGCAAGGGCATGGGCAGTAGTGGGAAGAAGAGAGGGGGAGGGTCGGGAAAGGTGAGCCTTGGCCCTGGCCAGGTTGGTGTTGGTGTTGGTGTTGGTGTTGGTGTTGGTGGTGGGGGTGGTGGTGGTGGTGGTGATGGAGAGGGGGAGAGGGAAGTTTCGAAGGTGAAGCTCGATGATGGGTTTTATGAGATTGAGGACATCAGAAAGAAAAGGATACGCAAGGTTTCTTATTTTCTGCTTACAAATCACCCTTCTTGTTACTAAATAATATACAAACACACACACACACACACACATTCTCTCGCTCTCTCTCCTCAGCTTACAATTCTGAGCTTCCTTTTGCAGGGCCAACTTCAATACCTTATCAAATGGTAAGCCTTCCTTGCTTGCTCTTTCTTAAATTTGCCTACAGTTAGAGAGACAGAGAGAGAGCGGGAGGGAGTATGGTGTTTTTTTAAGGTGGGTTCCAGAGTTAGTGGTTGATTTAGGCGAGTGCGAGAGAAGAGGTGGTCCACTTGTGTTGCTGCTGTCTAATTAACCTCTCTCTCTCTCTCACTGCAAAATATTCCATGGATTTTTTATTGGTGTAATGTAGGCGTGGGTGGCCTGAGACTGCTAACACGTGGGAGCCCGTTGAGAACGTCCAGACCTGCGCAGATGTTATTGAAGCCTTCGAAGAGAGGTGCTCTTTCTTCCTGCGTCCTTTTGGTGCAAGTTCTTTCTCTCTTCATATAATTAGAACCCTCTCTGTATTCCTGTTTTATTTGGGCAATATATAGTCAGACCCCTCTCTGTGTTCCTGTTTTATTTGGGCAAAGGATAAAAAATCTCGTTGCTTTCCAAAATCCCCAAATGAATTTACGCCATTTGTGTTCAGTATAATAGGGGCGTGTGGGGCTTGATTGAGGCTGCCCCTCCATAACTTCGGATTGATTTTTAATTTATCTTTCAATTTTTGATGTATTTTTATGAGAAATCTGAACCCTTTCTATAACAAACCTTATTCAATCAAACGCAAACACTAATTTATGAATGCACAACGTGTAAATTTAGTGCATGAAATATGAGTTACAGCATGTCACTGAAGTTAAGGTGTTGTAGATGATCTTCTTAAGTGGAATTGCCCAGTGCGCCAGAATGATAAAACAAGGTTACTTATTAGAAAAAAATGTCAATCCGGGCGACTTCAGTAGAGTAAATGTTGATAAATAAAATTTGTTTTGGGTCTTCTGATATTTTTATGAGAAAGACGCTGATATGGTTATAGGTGCTCAAGGCCTCTTAAGAAACGGAAGCGCAAGTCTGGTTTATCTCTGTCACTAGGGAAGAAGAAGCGTAGCAGTGGCTTCTCAATTGGGATTGAAGCATCAGCATCTCAGCCCACTTCTCCTGACGATCAAGCTACAGATCCCCCCTCTGTGGATGCTCAAACTGACGAAGGTACAGGAGAGGAAGAAGAGGAAGACAATGAGGAAGTGGCCAAGCAACCAAATGGTTCCAATATCAATGGTGTTGAAGTTAATGAGTTAAACATCACACCCACCCACCCCAGTGCTCATGAAGAGAAGAAGGACCCAAATATCAACAAGGAGCAAGGTTCAGGTGAAGTTGCTTCACTTGCTCCTAATGGCAATTCTGAAGGTACCCCAACTACCAATACAACTACTAATACTACAATTGGTGAGTGCCCAAATTCATCAATTGGGGCTCGGTTCATTGGCGCCAAGAAGAGGAAATCGGGTTCAGTTAAGAGGTTTAAGCAAGATGCGCCTTCTCATGATAATGATTTGGAGCACTGCAAAAGGGATGCTGCTTTGGTTGAAACCGTTACAAACTCGTTGGAGGATGACGTGAGTGTGCATTTGAATGAAACTATGAGTCTTAAGAATGGGGAGATTGATGCCTGTACGCGAAATATTGACAAGGTTTTAGATCCGTGCCATAAGTCTGGGCAGCCAATGATCACGAAGATTTTGAAGGCTATCAGTTACAATACTTCTACGACGAACAATGTACAAGATGTCTCGGTGTTGTTCAATGTTTTGAGGTAAGAGACTTGAGTGTTGGATCTGATCACTAGTATTTAGTCTTTTATTAATCTACCAAAGAGTGCTTTTTATTTTTGTGGGTGGGTGGAAGGTATTAATGGTTATATTTTATTCTGAAATTCTGACTTTGTGCATGAGTCTGATTTCGTTGAGTACTTTGCTAGGTAGGATTTATTTAAGATTTGTCATTCGGCTAGAATGTCAAATATGAAGAAATATAAACCATGCCTTTCAAGGTCTTCATCCAAGTTTGTCTCACTCATGCACTCAATTTCCTCTCCTCTATTACTCAGTTAGTGTTGTTGAGTTCAAGTGTGGCCTAAGTAAACAAGAAACTTGCTTATGGTATGTGGTTCTTGCCCAATATTAATGGCCAATGACCTGCGCTGGGTTTGGTAAATGACTTGGTGTGCTCTAATTGAGTCAATTAAGTTGGATGAGGTTATACTATGGTTCAAGAGATCTATGCATGTTTGGAGTGAAACATATCCGATATGCGCTCCCTTAGGGTTCTACTTATATGCTATATATCTTTTTTAGGTTTAGGATATAACTGCACCCCATTGGTCTGCTTGGGACAAAATTAAAAGATTCTAGCAAAGAACACCCCTTGTATGTTTGAGCTTAGTGTCAAATATCAGCACTTTTACAAGTTTATTGGGTTCTTTTTTTTGATAATGAAGTTTATTGGGTTCTTAATGCCATATACTGGTGGGCCAATATATGTTGACACTTGTTGATTGTTCTTGTATTTGGACATGTAGCATAAACGTTCATGCCATATCGTAGGCCATCTCTTATATTATACCCTTATCCTAGCAAAACAACAGAATTAGTTTCAAGGACATGCATGCAGTCATTAGGTTATTGATTTTATATTGTCCTTGAGGTATATTTTCATCTTTTTGTACCTTCAAACTCCAAAATCCCTTTAATTTATCCTATTTTCTCATAAATTTAACAATATAGGAGCTCCACTGACCGATAGAAGGCCTTAAATTTACAAACTATAATTTATCAAATTTCACATTTATTTAGAGCTAATTCTTGAATTTTTATGGATTGAAGTTTATTAATTAGAGATAGATAATTGAATCTCAGGTGTTTAACATCAAAACCCCACTGTGTAAGGTGATTAAACATGTTACATTAATGACATTTAGGTTATTAAAAATGTTAGGGCTTTTTGTTGATTGAGTAAATAAAAATAATCTAAATTAGTGACATTTAGATTATTAAAACTGTTAGGGCCTTTTGTTCATCAAGTAGATAAAAGTAATCTAAACAAGTTCCATTAGATTCAGACCTATAATGGCAAAGGGATCATCATCATCGTCGTCATCATCATCATCAGAGCCTTATCCCCTACTATTTGGGATCGGCTATACGAATCCTGTTTTGCCATTCTGCTCTATAAAGGGCCATATCCTCAATAAGACCATAAGTCCCCTTATCTTTTCCTACTACTTCTTTCCATGCCCTTTTGGGCCTTCCCCTTGCCATTTTTGAGCATGCCATATGAATCAAATTGTACCTCCTAACCAATGCTGTATTGGATCTGCACTGCACATGGCCAACCCACCTAAGTCTACTTTCCCTCATCTTGTTGCCTATTGGAGACACCCTTAAGTTCTCTCGAATATATTCATTCTGAATTCCATCATTTCTTGTCTTGCCACGCATTCATCTTAACATTCTCATCTCCGCTAAACTCATCCTATGGGTATGTTGTTTTTTGACCGCCCAACATTTTGTCCAAAAAAACAAAGCTGGTTTCACAGCTATCCTATAGAACTTCCCCTTCAGCTTCATTGGCATAAAGCTCTTGTTGCACATCTCCACTTCGCCCACCAGCTCTAATTTTATGTGCAACATCTTCTTCAATCTATCTACTTTTCTGGATTATTGACCTAAGATATCAGGCAAAGGTATCATGAAAGTAAGTATTCGTTGGAACTTCTTTTGGAAATTTGCTGGTTCACATCGAGCATTGCAAGAGACTGAAATCTTAATAGGCGTATCCTCCCCTTGCTGAAGTTTGATATTGATTGATACTTGCTAATTTCTATTTAATATCCCTGGACTCGATTGTGCTGATGTAGAGCACGTGGTGAGCCTATTTGTTCACATGCTGTACTTCTCATATGAGATCAATTCATCAATGATAATGTTATGTAATGCGTATAATAGACACTAGACCCAGTCTCTGCTAGCTAGATCTACCCCTGCATATTGTGGTTTTGCTGGAGATTTACTTGTTTGCACAATTAGAAACAACATACAGTACTTAAGTCTATTTACGGAGGTTGAATACTAAGTCATTCTAGTAGTCTCTAATGAAATATATGGCTCTGGATTCTATTATTGTTCTGGCAGTTTACGTAAAAGTATCTATCAATGCTTCTTGGAGATAATGCTAGTGACACCAAAATAGCTACTAGTCGTGTTTCTTGACAGTTTTAACCACATATGGTGGCGTCATTAACCTGAGAGACATAACTGTCTAGTTACTAAATGGTCATCCATATATTCGTATTGCTCTAGTTTAAGGGTTTTTTGATTGTTCAAGTGTTTTCACAAGCATATGAGGTTTTTTGAGATGCATGTGCATTGTTTTGTCCTTGTAATTTTATAATTACTATGTACATTGATGTAATTATTTTATGTCATTCTTATATATTAGCTTTAAGGGATATTTGGTCTGAGACGTATGCATAATGGGCATGGCTGTTGTTTCATAAATACCAATATGTTTTATCACAAACTTAGATTATGTAAGTTACTTCCTAATTTATCATAAAATTGTAAATTATCATGAAAATAAATAGCTTTATTGTTTCTTTGAGTGCTTGCATAAGCGCATGAGGTTTGTTGAGATGCATGTGCATTGTTTTGTCCTTGTAATTTTATAATTACTATGGACATTGATGTAATTATTTTTTGTCACTCTTATATATTAGCTTTAAGGATATTTGGTTTTACGTGTATGCATAATGGACATGGAAAATATCTCCATCTCTCCTATTTTTAGATTTCATTTCTTAATGAACCCGAAGTTTCAAAAAATATCTTCAAACCCCCTGGCCACTTTAAACCTATTTTTTAACCTAAACAAATGTGAGAAAGACATGTTCTTTCTAAATCCATTCCCTTCTCTCTTTTCATTGATATATCCAAAACTTCTCTTTTTCTCTCTCTTGCTGAGTCTTTCACTCTCTCTCCTCCCATGTTTATCCAAACACCTCTCTCTCTTCCCGTGTTTATCCAAACACCTCTCTCTCTCTCTCCTCCCGGTAACTTCTCACCTCTCTCTCTGTCAGAAATGGACCATCACCCATCTTCTCTCCTTACACTTTGATCCACATTTCTCTGCTTTTTTTCGGTGCTCTCTTTCTCTCTCTCTAAAATGCAGCATCTCAAGCTCTGTCTCTCTGCTTTTCATGGCTATTTCATTTAATGCATGAAAACCTGCAGGGAAAAGCGGGTAGTCCCAGGTCCACTCCCCCCATCTCTCTCTCTCTCTCTAAATCCAAAACGAGAATTCCATCTCTCCCCCTCCACTATAAACAAAACCCATATCAGAAACGAAAATTCCACCACTGTATCTCTCTGAATAAAACCCATATTTCCAATACTCTCTGTAAACAAAACCCATATCAGAACTAGAATTCCAGCTCTCCCTTCCAATACTCTCTCTCTCTAGAAAACCCCAAACCCAAATAAAAAACGTGAATTCCACCTCCGTTGAAATCCCAAACCCAAGATAGTGTTTAGGCTCAATAGGCCAAAAACTCAGCAAAAATACTCTCCGGTGAGTTCCATGGTATTAGAACCCATGATCAGCACGGACTACTGAAAATTCGAAAACCATAAGAATTACCACTTTCAATGCTGCTCTGTTTTCACTGCTTTGCTTTCAACAAGCAGTTCCAAAGTCTCTCTCATCAGAGGAGAGCATTGGAGAGATGGACCTCAAGGGGAAGTCTTTGAATGATAGGCCAAAGAGTATCTTAAAGAAAAACTCAATTTCTCACTCTAAATGATCCGAATGAGTTCTCTCTCTGAGCTATACAAGGCCCAAGGTTCGACATTATGGATCTCATTGAGGGAGGGTAGAGAGAAAGATCAGAAAGAAAAACGGTGAGGGAGGGTAGAGAGAGAGAGATAGAAAAAGTGAGAGAGGGTAGAGAGAGAAAGATAGAGAGAAAAATGGTGAGGGAGGGTAGAGAGAGCGGGAGGAGGGAGAGGGGTTAGAGGTGGGAAAGATGGAGAGAGAGAAGGGGTGCGTGGAGAGAAAAAGAAGTTTGGGAGGATGGCTTTTAGAAAAGGTATGTCTTTTTAGATTTGTTTGGCCTAAAAGATACAGGTTTAAAGTAGCTCAGGGGGTTAGAAGAAATAAAATCTACAGTTTCTATGCCCCAAGATATCGTTTAAAACCTTGGGTCTATTGTGAAATGAAACCTAAAAATAAGGGGTATGGAGATATATTCCCCATGTTTTATCACAAACTTATAATATGTAAGTTATTTCCTAATGTATCATAAAATTATCAGGAAATATAAATAGCTTTTGTTATGTCTGACATATTAGAACTATTAATGCACAATGGAAATGCTGGCCCCAAGAAACCAAGTCATCAAAACAAAAGGTAGAAGGGATTTCACAAGTATAGAACAATCCGTAGTCCAAATCAATCATAGAAGCTTGTCTGCCATCACTTTGTACAAATTGGCCTCTAATAGGTCAAGTGTGCATTTTGGTACAAGTCATTCCAGTTTTACATCAATACATATAAATTTTTGCTTTTTGTTTGAATAAGAACAAGATTTTGTAGTCCTGATGGTTATAATATATTGCTTTTTTATTTTAAAGGAAAACATGACCTTTGGGATTCTGATAGGCCTTTCATCACTATATGTTTATGAAATATTTCATTCTAACTCTTAGAGGAAGCCAAACTTGGGAAATCCAAACTTGTCGAGTCCCAATTAGCTCTATC